AGATACGTCTTTCCAGATATTTTGAGATGTGTGGACAGAGTCGCTCGCGGGACGGTTGCCTCGAGTGCGTTCGGAACCGGGACAGCTGCCCTAGTCATGTGATTTGTGATCCCTCAATGGTCGAACCTCGCGAAAATGTCGTTCTCCTTTTCACGATTTTTCTTCTTATTTTATCGAACGTTCTTTATGGTCGCTTCTTTGGCGTACTTGACCCGATCATCGGATCTTTCTGGTATCTTGTACGAAAATATTTTCATAAAATCTAGGACGTCGTTTTACAATTATGTTAAATATTAGAAAAATTTTTAGACGATGTGTTTGCTCGTAATAAATTATGATCTAGTAATCGCAATAACACTGTTTTTGTAATGTTGGGTGAAGATTTTAGAGCGCGGGCTCGTGGGATTATTTGGAAATGAGAGCAACCTCGAAGAATGTATAGACCACGAAGTTTACGGAGTGAAGTGGAAAATTTGGGAAATTGGCTAAATCCATTTGGGCTGGAAATGTATTAATTTTTGGGCAAAAATTAAAATTTTTAATTAAGGTTATTTCTAACGGATTCATGTAAACAAGTGTAGCTTGTCTATCGCGCGAAACGCCCGCCATGTCTGGCTTCGTCATACGGTTATAAAACGAGCGGCGAGTGTTACGATATTCCTGTCGGACATTTATTGCGGCGATTGCAGACCGGCGCGTTGGGTATTCGATTGCATCGTATTTTTGTACTTTTTTTCATTTAATAAAGGATGGAAAAAGCTTATATTGTGATACTTTATGTTCAACATAACCGTTTAGCAATGATTTCAATTGATTTGTTTCCTTATAGAGAATTGTACAAAATTATGAAATATTGAAATATTTTTTAAGTTTGTGTTCCCGTTTTTCTGAAATTATTTTAGGCAATTTTATAAAAAGAATCTCGCATTGATGTTTGAAGTATAATTTATAAGAATATAGTTACGTTTACAGTGAATAATTTAAAACTAATTTAACATTTTGCAGAGATATATATGTATTTCCTTCCGTATTTTCCTTTTATTTATGTGAGTGTAATATGAACTTCAAGAGCCATTCTGTTAGAAATTCTTTTGTAATTCTTGAATAGGTGTATGAATTCTTTTAACATTAACATTACGTCCACGAAATTAAAACAACAATTTTTCTAATAGTTACGATAGATATGCCTATTCTTAATTGAACTTTATCGAAGTTTATGAAATCTCAAAAACGAATCGTTAGACTTACAATTAGAATAATTTCATGTCGCCGTAAAAAAGGTGTCCCGAGTCGAAAACGTGTAATTTTTCAGCAGAGCGACAATAAACTGGTTTAGTACGTAACATTCCATATATTGAACAAAATGACACTAGTTACCATCTCGCATGAAGTATTAGACTTTAATTTACATTTTTCTAGATAATGGATCTATGTACTGTAAGATATTCCACGCAATAAAATGAGAACTAAAAATTTTTAACTCGTGACACTTTTTCCGCGTGGATGCAATATGAAGAATAATTTCCGAGAATTTGTCTAATAATAAGAGTTCGATTCTTATAACCAATGTCAGGATATCCATTCCCAAAAGGCAAGAATATACTGCATTTCTTCGTCTCGTTCAAACATATTTCACAAGCCTAGAATCATTTCGAACGAATGTATTTCTCATATGTATCTGTACACCTTTATTCCAAGAGGCTAGAAACGCCTGCCAATATCTGTTATTCTCCATGGAGAAACATGAAGAGAAAAAGTCGCGTGTAAATTCGTGAAAAATAACCGCGAGCATAGCCGACCAGGTTCGCGAAACCGTGGGTTTACCGTTTCGGAAGCATTCCAAAGTCAAACTCCCTCGACTCTGACAACCTGCCAAACGTCTGAGGTCACGTTACGTAAACGATGTAATATTCATTCGATTCCGCCGAAAGAATGACACTCGATCGTGTCTTTCGTGCAAAATGATATCTCGTGTGCATCGTGCTGACGCGGAAGCAAAGTATCGAAACGTGGACAAGCTACGGTGGACCAACAGCGATGGTCGATAATACGATTTTGAGCGTAGCACGCGATTAACGGATAATAAACAGAGGAACAATAATCACTGTGACGGTGTGAAATTTACGATCGTAATAATTAATTACGATCTGAAATTATTTCTAAAACAACATGATTGTTTTTCAGTCTGACAGAAGATTGTGGTGTTATCTATAATGATGTATGCATTAAATATTAAAATTTTGTGTTACCATCCACGAAAAGTGCACTATTAATGTGTTTCAATGGTTAGGGCGTTACTGAGAATTTAAAATAGTCCGTGCAACATGTAGCAGTCTGTTGCCTTTAACACTTTAACTGCCACGTCACCCAAATATGGGTGACACGTACATTGAAAAGTGTCTGGATTATTTAAACACAGTTATAAAATGTTTGCATGAAATTAATATCACAGTATAGTTTAAAACAAGACCTACAGCCTCTATTAACTGAACTCAAATATTTTCGACAATTTATGACTTAAAAAACGAAATAAAGTGTGTCTGGCTACGTACGGCCTTTTTCTCTGTGGCAGTCAACGTGTTAATAAACCAAAACCGTCTCGTTCGACTGGAAAATACTTTCCAGCCCGAGAGAATATTTGTGGATCAAAGTGGAGAGTAACATTGCCAGTACAAATGTGAAGTGAATATTTCAATATTGACGTTTTCCCTTCGGGTCGCGGGGAAACATTTCCGCTTTTGCTAAACGTGTGTTTAAAGTGGCGTGAATATTCGCGAAACAAATGTAGAAAGACGATCACGTGTCACGAAAATATTATCACTGTTTGTTTGAAAATACCGTACGTAGGTATAATATTTTTGCAAAAATTTGATTCGATAGCGATATTCGAGGCGAGTGAAAAGAATTGAACTCGAATAATTATTTATTTCACTGAATACAAGATCACAGTTTTTAGTGCAAGATTCTGAGTGATCAGTGCGATATTCAAACTTAAGCCACAATCCTCGATTCATCTGCCTCCGCAGCCAGCAACACAGTAACAGCTGGAGGCCCGAGCGAGACCATCAGCACCGCTGCGCAGAGGTCGTTAAGGAGCCCTTAAAATTTACGGCGCCCGGTAGCGCGGGATCCGAGGGTGATTGAACCCGTTACAAAAACGCGAACCGCCTGGCGCTTCGGTACCGAAAACCGGAAACATGAAGAACGCGCACCCGATCATAACAGCGGCAAGCTGCACGCCAGTCAATCCGGATTCTTCGTCCACGGACGAGCCCACGGAACCGATTATCCGACTGAAGCTGGACAAGCCGTTGCACTGGGAGTGGGAGTTGACCACGTCCGCGGACGCGCTTCCTGTGATTCAGCTGTTGGACAAAGATGGCCGTCTACTGGTCGAGACAACTGGAAGAACGGCACAGAGGGCGAGAGGATCGTTCCGAGAGGGTCTCAAGTCCCACGAAGAGTTTCTGCCTAGCAGATCGTCCTCCGAGAAGATCCCAACAGCTTCATCGTCCTTCTCCTCCTCTTCTGCATCGAATGCACCGTGTCCCGTGCAAGGAAACAGGAACTTCGACGGGTTCAGCACGAAGTTCGGTAGTTGTTCGTTCGGCTACAGGCCACGGAAGTCGAAGAGCGACGTGTCTGTGAAAGAGAAGGAACGAAGAGGAAGGAAGAGGCATTCCGGTGGGCCGGAAGTAGCCGCGGCGCAGGCTAACGAACCGACGAAGACGATGTCGAAGAGATACTCCGTCGGCGATTATCTGCGGCAACAGATTATCGACGACCTCAGAACGAGGAGCACGGTCGGCAAGTGCCCGGAGGAAATTGCTAAAGAGAGGTGCAAGAAGATGAAGGCTTACTTGAGAAGCCAGAGCGAGATTCTGCCTAGATTGATTCACGAGGAGGAGACGGAGGAGGCGGGCGGCGTGAGGACAGATTCGACGATTAAGCGGGACGAGGTGGCGCGGGATCAGAGAATTAAAGATGGCTTGAAGCGTCTACGAGAAGCAATCAGGGAGGAGGAGCCGAATGCTAAGGCGGCGGTTGATCGGAAAGGGGGATACGACGATCCGCGGGAAGACTCGGGGCTGAATGGGGAATCAAAACTGGGGGAGACGGGATTCAAGAATAGCATCAGGAACGAGGAGCTGAGGAAGGTGAAGGCGTTTCTGCAACGGAAATTACAGCAGAAGATGGAACAGGAGCGATCCCGAAGCTCGAGTCGATGCGACCGTTTGCTGGAATCGGGTAATGGGATCAAGAAGAGGTACTCGGAGTACAGGCAGAACGAGCACCCTGGAGGTTATCGTACTCGGAAGGTGCACAGTGAAACGAACATGGTCAGGTTCGATCCGGAGATTCTTCAAAGGGACAAACAGATATTGGGCAGGCAGGTGGAGAGATCCAGGAACGGCAAGTGGCAGTCCGAAGATTCGTTCAAGCAAAGGGGCTACCATCGCTCGAAGAGCGACGCGATCTTGAAGGTCTCGGAGTCCACGGACGCGAATCACCGACAGAGGCTTCAATTAAGAGACTCGTCGGGCTCGGAGAAGCGGAAACTCTACCGAAAGACCAAGAGCGACGTTTTATTGGGCCAGGCGGGAAACAGCATCGATTCGGAACAGGATCTCGGGAATCCTCCGAGACGGGTCAGGAGTCAGGACAACGTCGACGAGTCCTGGCGGGAGTACAAGGAGAGGAAGAAACACGAAAGATTGCACCGGGAGTCGGAGAAGGAAGTGAAGGAGGAGGACTTCATGAGCAAGCCGCGGTGGAAGGATCTCCAGGCGGACCTGTGCTCCTTCAGGAATTGCAGGGTCTGTCAGAACTTGCAGAATTGCGTGAATCCGTTGCAGAACAATGGCCAAACTGTTGGGATCAAGAACAATTGCCCCACGAAGGACTCCACGGATGTGAGTTTCAACGATTCATCCAGCGACAGACCTAGCACGAGCCTCCAAGAGAACTATTTGGTTCTCGATCGTGCCATCCTGGGCCCGGAAAATCCCACGATTGCTAAGATTCAGGTGAGAAATCGCGACGTCGACTCGGTTAACGTGAACTCCGCCGACTGCGGTTACAACACGATCCCCAAAGAGGCTTTTAAGGACTACCGGGAACTGTACATGCGATCGAACGTGAAGAAAAGCGATACGTTTAAGATCGTAGACGGAAGCGAAGACCATGAAGGGGCCGGCGATCGAAGCGATTCGAAGGGAGAGCGCGACGAGGGATCGCTTGATAGCTTCGCGTGCACGAACGGCGGGGGTTTGCTGACGAATAAATCGAACGAGGACATTGCCAGGGATTATTTCAATCGAGTCTACGAGCTGCTGAAAAAAAGGCAGGAGGAAGCCAGGAGGATTCAGGAGGGGCTGAAGGTACCTGGGCGCGAGGACTCGTCGTCTTCTAATTGCGCGGAGATAGTGCAGAGACGGAGGCTTCGGCGCAGGCGAAAGGAACGAACCCCGCAAGGTAAGGATAAGAATTGCTTTGATCTTTTTCGTAATTTAGTGGAGACAGGGGGCTGCGGTGGGGAAATAAGGAAAGGAGATGTTAATGAGAAGACTGGTATAACTATTATACTTTTTAGTAAAAAGGATCGTGTCGTTTTAACGAGTTGACTGTCATGAGCAGACTGCAGAACCATATGCAAAATGTTAAAAATGACATTGTTTAAAGTGGTTTCTAAAGGCAGATATAAAGTTAGAAATTTCTTTCACTTCTTAAACATTTTATTGTGTTGAGAATAGGACGGAAAATGTGTTAAATCTAATCTCAGTTTTCTCTTTTGTTATACGCTGCATGGCATAACTATAAAACCACCCTAAAATGTTCAATTCTTATGTATTGTGGTTAAAATAAAAACGAACCAAGCATGCCATGTCCGAAATCGTGTTGAGAATTAATGTTTCTCGAGAAAAGAATTGATTATATGTATTCCCTAGCAAAAAGTGGTTCGTTTTTATTTTAACTGCAATGCATAGGGATTGAAAATTTTAGGGTTTTATAGATAATATTTCTAGCTTTATCTTTTATAATTAGATGTACCAATAAATAATCCACTATGGTTCCAACGTAATGAAAATATAGCTTCAATAGAATACCTTTCTAAACCTCTGTTTTGTCAAAATAACGGAGAATGATGGAAACGAATAGTGAATACTATTAAGATAACACAGGGTTTTGAATTGTTTCCAAACAAATACAAAAGTTTACAAAAAAAACAGTCTATGTACTACTTATCGGTATACCTAATGTTTCATTATATTTTTAATTTTATCTTTTCCTATACTGAACGCATGTAATTCAGCGTCTAGTCATGAGGGTCACTACATAATGATCGGTATTCAATTAGTAAATGGTGCCATATCAAGCATGCATGACTGATGATACGAGAATCAATTAAAGTTTTGTACGTGGAATGCTTCAAAATTAAAAACTTATCGAGGATGACTTCTTATAAAGAATTATTCTATACATATAATACATAGTTAGGTTGTTACTGTAATCTTTTGTTATATACAATTGTATAAACATTATTTATTTTATCTAATGGTCCTTCATATGAACGTTCATAACATTACAAATTTTAAAGCACCTGCATTAAATAAACACTAACGTCTACGAACTTTTCATACTATTAACACTAGAACTACCAGCTTTAAATGTATACTAAATTAAATTGTGTAATATAATAATATACAGAATATATAAGACTATCAAGCGTAACATACGGTAAAATAAAATCTGTAGTAAATTAAAAGCCAACATATATTCTATCAAAAGTACAATTATAATTTCAGTAATGGTAAAATAGTAAATCTGTAATCCGTAATTTTTCGGGTTTAGTAGTTCTAGTGTCAATATTGTAACATGAACTGATAACCCTCAATGAAGTACATACATAAAATATGTTGACAATACAAATAAATTTTTTTATTGAACATTCTACCATTCTATATTTCATAAAAAGTGAAGATTTCGTTCGACGTTCTAAAACAGATTAAGAAATTCACATGTCAATCAACGTGTTAATATCTCTAAAAGAAGCAGTAAATAATATGCCGGGTCACCAATACAAACACCACGTGTCAAATTTTATAACGTCTATTTTCTGCAAAGTTTTTATCGAAGCTAGCATTAGTCACTTCGAAAGTGTCCCTCGTTGACATCTACTACTGTCCATTCACGTTGATATTCCTCTGTCTCGAAAAACTATGTTACTTTCCGCGGCAGTATAAGAGACGAGAAAATTCATTGCACATATAAAATGTTTCCAATAACTGATAAAAGATAGGAAATTGGCTATCCACGTTTCGCTAAATAAACTTGACAGTTCCAATTGGAAAATAAAATATACATATTTCTTTTTAAACGACTTAACACCATGCAATTGTTTAATCAAATTGATTGTTTGTCGGAGTAAAATTTGTAGATAGCTTAATCGAATGATATTTAATTTATTTTTTTGAAGGATTATAGCACCGTAGAGTATACAAAGAGTAAAAGTTACATGCAGTAAGAAACGGAAAAAGGAAAGAAATGTAACAGTAAGAACAATGATAACCAAACAGTACAAAATTCAGGTATATACATTGCGTCTATTTCTAGGCTAAACAAATAGGCTACACTGTTCAGAATAATTACAGTATCAAGAACTCAATACGGCATATAATTCTTGGATAATTTTTTATAAAAACAAAACTAGATAAAAGGCATTATTCGGAAAAAATTGTAAAATGTATCAGACCCGTAGCATTTTTTTCGTTCCTTTCGCTTAATCAACGCAACAGGAGATCGTTCAATACAGGAATCCCCTAATTATTTTAAATAGCGTATATTATATCAGTAATGGGTTTTAGAGTTATTTGCAGAGAATAAAAGAAATTTAGCGAAACACTGATCTATTTTCAAGTAGGGGATTTAATATGTTGTTTCACATGAAAAGATAGAGGTGATTCATTATAACAGAGATTTCAATCTGGAATTAAATGGATCCATGAGAAACCGATCACGGAGTTATTTAACCAAGACGCCTAATTGTTTTAAGTAGCGTATATTATATCAGTAATGGGTTTTAGAATTATTTGTAGAGAATAAAAGAAATTTAGCGAAACATTGATCTATTTTAAGGCAGGGGATTTAATACATCGTATCACATAAAAAGATAGAAGTGATTTATTATAACAGTGGTTTCTATCTGGATTTAAATGGATCCACAAGAAACCGATCACGGAGTTATTTAACCAAGACGCCATTTTTTTCAATCAGCTCTACCTTCAATGTAAACTATTACTACAAATGGTAGACACTAGTTTATTATTATAACGCGAGGATGCATTAATTTTAAGTTGAAAAGCTAAACGGACCTCTTAATCGCCACGGAAATCCGAGTATTTTAATTTCGACAGTCAAACATTATCCAGAATTCTTTTTTAAACAGGTGTTATACAGACATTATCCCTGTGAGTCTTTCGCTAATGCGAATATTCAACGTCGCGTTATGACGAAACTTTCCCATTATATCAAAGGACGGCAGACTGCGTTTGTTAATATTGTCCCGTAAACAGTGTTACGTCTCGCTGTCTATGCGAAACCCGCACGACTGATAACGACAAAAGAGGTTCCGACACTGCAAAAAAACATGTGAGTCGAGTAAATGTTGAGTAAATCGATGATGAGTTCAGACGTTTCTTCTTTCGACGAGACTGTCCAACGTCCTTAACCCTCGTATGACGATAGGTGGGTCGGTAGTTCAGTATGTCGCGATATTTTAAGGAAAGAGGATGTACACTCTCGTTCATAAGTATTAGGGTAAACCCGGGAGAGATGGACTATGCTTTTTAAAATGTCCGAAAATGAAATATTTTAGAAATAATGAATGTTGTACTCAATGGTTTGTGTAGTGAATAATCTTTTCTAGCACATGTAATTAGTAGAAAACATTGTCTTGATAAATAGCTGCAAAATAAAGATAAGTTTTTGGATTTTGGTTCATCTCTCCCTAAATACTACAGGTGAGATAGACCCCTTTTATAAGTGTTATATTCCCTCATTAAATTAATCTGTAACAATTATTTTCATCGAGAAAACTATTTTATTAAAATAAAAGAAGTTATGTATATTATTATAATTACTGAGCTAAGTAATGATAAATTGGATCACTTGAACCATTATTGGAAAAATTATTTAAGCTGCGGAAATAAACATTTTTTTGTCAATGAAATCGAAAAGGAAAGAAGTTGTTTGAAGCAAATGTTAATATTTGTAATAATATAAATTTTACTGATACTTCTAAACAGTGTCTTGATGATTCTTACACTTTGCAAAACTTTACAACTTCATCTGTAACTTTTATTACGTACTTTCAAAATTTTAGAAAACTTATTTTGCATAAGCTTTCCCTGCGACTTTATTCTGAAGTTATTTTACGTTCACTAGATAAACATCCTTGACGGTTCAGTTATATGCAAATTTTTTAAATTTTGTCGGGGAAGGAATAATTTTATTTTAATTCATGGAACCATTTTACTAACATGTAGCAGCCTCACTTTACTAATACAATTTTATAAGCAAAGCTTGAAAATAAAACATGGAAATAACATATTTGTGTTTGAAAATTATTTAGTGAGATGTGAAAAACAATCTTTACTGTGGAATTAGTTTTCTGCTATAAGAACGTTATCCCATAAAGTTTCTATAGTATGAAAAAAATCTTAAAGAAAGAAGTTAGTTATTTGCGATCCGACGTCTTCTGAATTTGAAATGGACTACTTTAAAAGATCAACTTCTCAAAATGAAATAAAAAATATTAAACTTCCCAGAGTTTTCATTCTCAAAGAAATTTCAAGCATTTTCGTATAAATCTAAGTCTATAAACAATAGTTATAAAAGTTAGTATAGATGCATTTAATAATCACTAATTTGTTACCATTACTCTCATCGAATTATTAATACTACCTATAATAATAATAATACGTTTACTTGTCACAACAGGAAATGAAAACATAACAACAAACAATTGTTTCGATTACAAATTAGTAATAATAACAATAATGATTTGACTGTATTAAATAAGTATGGTATAAATAGAATAACTAATAAAAATATAAATAATAAAATAATATGAAAAGCAAAGTATAGATGTACACTATTATGAACGTGATCTAGAGTTCATGATGATGAGTCTAAGTGCTTTTTATAATTTGTAGACAAATATAACCGTAAGATACCTGTCATCAGTAGTCAATCGTCACTTAAATATTTAAGTTAATTAAAAGATTTATTATATCGAAAAATTAAACTACTTTTTGTGAAAGGTATACGAATAATAATAAAAACGTCTGTGAAATATAAAACTGGATCTAATAACCACTTAATTGTGACGTATCTTTGAATTCTATTATACAAAAAAATTCTACTTGTGAAAATACAAAGAAAAATTTCAATTGTGCTCGTTCGAATAATCGAGT